CGGCTTCCCCTCCCCCCGCTCCGGGCCCCGCCCCCTCATCCATGGGTTCCAGGCCCCACCTCGCCCCGCCAGCTCCTCCAGCCCTAGGCCTTGCCCCCGCCCCAGGCCCGCTGGTAGACGTCCACCACCAACCCGCTCCTGTGTGCCGAACTTGCCGTCGGCCACCAGGTGCACTTCGTAAGTGAAATTCATGGTTCTTGCCAGCTTGATGAGCAGGTCGATGCAGAAGCCGTAGCAGCACTGAGGCACCGTGTGGCGCGCTGTGAAGGTGGGGGTGGTGACTGCTGGGCTTCCGGCCGCCAGCCGCCTAGCGCAGCCCCTCCTTGCCCCCGCCCAGCACTCACGGCTGCCCGGCGATGTGTCGTTGGGCCCTGTGCAGATCACCTTCTTGACCGGGTCGCCGTTGACCGTGAACTCCTCCCTGCATGTCCCATCGCTCATCGTGGGCTTAACATACACGAAGGGCTCCTGGTGGATCGTCACAATCTGGGAGGAAGGGGAGACCTAGTCTGGACCACCGACCCTCGGCAGCCCGGGGCCCACCTCTTCTCAGCCGCCTCTCCCTAGAGCCCCCCACCGGACACTGCCCCTTCCCGTCTCCCTGGCCACCTTCAGGATGGCCTGGTTCCCTGGACTGACCCAGACTCGTCAGGAGCGACTGGAGCCCTCCCTTCTCTTGGTCATTTTCCCTCCAGTCTTGGCTCATGCTACCCCTCCATCAGGGAGCCTGCCCAGACATCCAGTGTGAGCCAGGCACCTTCTTTAGTCTCTCAGGGATGAGAAACTTCCCCTCCCAGCCTGGAGTCTGCCCCCCACCACGCTGGAGGACAGAGGCATGTTCACAGAAGCCAGGCCTGGGACCTGCAGGCTGTCTGTAGTGTCTCCTGCAGCACCCAGCTGCAGTCTTCAGTCTTGATCCTCCCTCTTTGGTTCCTCCTCTCTCCCCTAGTGATGCTGTCCCTCTCCTCCCTGCCACTGAACTCAAGCTTCTGCCTGGTCTCCCTCCTTTCTCTCAGGAGTGGGCCACAGCCTGGGCAAGGGGTGATGCGGAGGAGGTGCCTGATGGGGTGGTGAGATCCTAGGCAGGGAGGCATGAGGAGCAGTAGGAGAGGCACCCTCAGCTGGTGGCCCTTGGGGATGTGGACAGGGCCCCTCAACTCTGAGGGCAGCGTTTCAGCTTTTATCCCTGGGAGATTAGGAGCCCTTACAGGAACTTATTTCCTTTTAAAAATTCTCATGTTTTCTATTATTTCTGTTAATACTTTAAAAAATATTAGTGAGGCCAGAAATATTTGTTTTTGAGAGAGAGAAAGAGAGAATCTCACTCTGTCACCCTGGGTAAAGCATCATGGTGTCATGGCTCACAGCAACCTCAAATTCTTAGGTTCAAGCAATCCTCCAGCCTCAGCCTCCCGAGTAGCTGGAACTACAGGCACCTGCCACAAAGCTCGGCTAGTTTTTTCTATTTTTAGTAGAGCGGGGGTCTCTACTCTTGCTTGGGGAGGGGGGTCTCACTCTTGCTCAGGTTGGTCTTGAACTCCTCAAGCTCAAGTGATCCACCCACTTCGGCCTCCCAGAGTGCTAGGATTATAAGCATGAGCCACCATGCCTGGCCCAGAAACAGAATTGGTAAAAGCTTCAAACCATTGGCGTTTTGACTGTTACTTTTAGACTTTCGAATGGGAGATGTTTGAGCTGCAGGGAAATGCCACATTGGTGTTGGCAGAGCCCGCTCTGTCTGTAGGCAAAGTGGTCTGAGTGGGAGGGTAGAAGGGCTGCCCCTGCTACAGGGCTGGCCAAGAAAGTAGACAGGGTTAAGACACATTTGAGGGGCTCAGTGCCTATGGCTCAAGCCGCTAAGGTGCCAGCCACATACACATGAGCTAGTGGGTTTGAATCCAGCCCAGGCCTGCCAAACAACAATGATGGCTGCAACCAAAAAATAGCCAGGCATTGTAGCAGGCACCTGTAGTCCCAGCTACTTGGGAAGTGGAGGCAGAAGAATTGCTTGAGCCCAGGAGTTGGAGGTTGCTGTGAGCTGTGATACCACGGCACTCTACCCAGGGCAACAGCTTGAGGCTCTGTCTCAAAAAAAAGAAAGAAAGAAAGAAAGAAAGAAACATTTGAGGACCAGGAGAGGGCTGGCTGGGCACCTTGCATATAAGGTCCTTGCCTTTGGTGGTCTGTGATACTGGCCATGCTGGTGTGGGTGTGGTGTGCGTATGATGTGCTTCAGCATGGGGAGCTCTGAGGAGTGCACCTGGGAGCAGAGAGAGGCCCATGGGTTAGTCTAAAGGAACGTGAGGAAAAGATGTTATGAGAGGGAAGCCAGCTTGGGGGGTGGGGGCAGAGGCCCAAGGGAGAGCCAAGAAGGAGATGTCCCACCACAGGGAGTGCTGCAGGGAAGGCAGGGTGAGAGAGGACAGTTTGACCTAGTGACACCAGGAGGCCATGGGGCTGGCCACCTGGAGGAGGGATGAGGGGTGTGGAAGACCAGGACTCAGGACAGCAAGTTCCAAGCTGAGGTCTGCACCAGGACACAAAATGACCATCTGTTGTCCCATTGCATCCCATAAGCTCTTCCCCAAGAGAGTCCTGTCCCTGATAACTTACCCAGACTTAAGCAAAGTTGGGGTCAAGAGGGGTGGAGGCAGTGGCAGCCCTATCTCCTCCTTCCACTTGCCCCTGCCACCACCTATGCTGTGGCACAGGCCCTGTCCCCATTTCCTCCAGTTGCTTTTGTTGGCCTAAGGCCTGGTGGGTGGACAGGATTTCAGGGATGGGGATGCTGTTGGTTAGGCCCCTACCTTGAGTCTAGTAGACATTTGGTACCCTCGAGGCTTTTCTGTCTCTCCACCTGGCCAGATAATCTTCCTGTCATTGGGGATGACCTGGGGGTGGGAGTATGAGATGGAGGGTGGCCACGCAGGGGTCTTGGCCCCAGGACCCTAAGGCCCCAGCCCCCACCCCCTCATGACCCCCACCTACATGAGTGCCATTGTAGATGCCCACTTGCACAAGCTTTCGGTTCTGCAGGTTCATGATGCTGTAGTTGGCAAACTTCCGGTCCCCGTCCTCATTGAACTCCACGCGGCCAGTCACCCCGTCTGCATACTTGGAGGACATCAGCACTCTGGAGAACAGCAGTGCAGCAGTGTGGTGGAGACCTGTGCTTGCTCTGGCCTCGCAAGCAGCCCAAGCTTCTCCTTCTTCCCCAGACCCAAGGATGGAAAGACCATCAGACTCTTGCTATCAGTCTGATAGATGGCACGTGGGCACACCTGTGTGTGTGTTCACGTGTGCATTCCCACACCAGGTGGACAGCACAGCCAGTGACAGCTGAGTGGTTTCTGCATTCCAGATGCTGTTTTGAGGACTTTCCATGGATTAGGATGTTTGGTCCTCATAGCCAGCAACCATCCTAGCTTCAGAGAGAAGGAGGCTGAAGTCCACATGCCAGCGAGGGAGGGAGGCAGGTTGAGCATGGCATCTGGCCATGACCATCAGGCTGTCCTGTCTGGCTGTGTGTACAAGTGTGTATTGTACCCAATGGCCCATATCAGTGCATCTTTGTGCACAGATGGCCCCTAGGTGGGGTGCACGCTCATGAAAGTACTTGTTGCACATGTGTTACGTGCCTGAGTCTGTGTGCACACACAGTTCTGTGCACATGTGTATGTATGTGTGCACACGTACTGCCTACAACTGTGCTTACATGTGTGCACCTGTCTCAGGCACTGTGGACAATGGCTCTGCATAGTCTACTCAGCGGCTGGAGGCCTGGGGATGGGCTGGGGCCTGCCACACCCCTGGTGGTATGGTGCCCAAGAGTGCTGTGAGTGAACTCCTACCACACTACAGCTGTTCACTCCAGTCTCTGGGACTCAGCCAACCCTGGCTCTCTGCAGGGTCAGCTGCCATTCTTAGGCTGTGTGGCCTCCTGGGTCCCTGGAAGCTCCCAGTCCCCACTTGCATCAAAAGCCTCCTCCCAAGGCTGCCAGCCTCTGAGTGTGTGGGTGCTGTCTCAGGATGGGCTGCAATGTGGAAAGGTGGCATTTGGAGCAGTGGAGGCAGTTACAACTCCGGTGACAGTTAAGCTATTTGCGTCAGTGTTGGAAAAGGGGTGGTAACTGTGTCAGTGGAGACGAGGTGGTGGTGCTGGGGAGGTGTGAAAGAGGAGAGAAGTAGGAGAGGTGACAGTGTCCGTGGGATGTCAGCAGCAAGCCCCACAGCACCACCCCCAGAGTAGCTGCGCCGGCACCTCCCGGAGGACCCCGCCCACCTCTGAGAGCGGCCCCGCCCACCCCAAGAGTGCCCACCCTCCCCTGCCCACCTTTTGAATAGCGGCCCAGTCTTCCAGATGTTGGTGTTGCCCACGCAGCCCCGCGGAGGGTCGGTGATATTCTCCTTCTCCAGGAGCTCGTGGACGGCCTGGGCCACCACGCCCACGGCGTCGCTGATGTGGGCCGACTCGTTCTTACCGTTGATAAGCTGCAGTCCAATGATACCTGGGCGAGCAAGCGAGGCATCAGCGCCCCTGGTCGCCTCCCTGTCCCAACCCCATGGAGACCCGCACTCACCGTCCGGGGCGTAGCGCAGCGCATTCCCCGAGATCTCACGCTCCCCAACCAGCCACACGTACCCCGAGCCCGTCATGTTCAGCATCGCGGCCGCACGGTACACGGTGGCAGCATCATCCTCGCTGTGGGGCAGACGGGGGTGAAGGGCCAGGACTCAGGCCCTCCCCGGGCCTGTCCTTCTCCGCTGGAACTGGGGCCTGCTCCCCACCCCTGTCCCTGAGCAAAGCCTGGAGCCGCCCTTCCGCCTCACTGTACCCCCAGCCTGCACTTGAGAGGGCAGACCTGGGAGCCTTCTGGGCCTCGGTGGCTGAGCCCTGCGTTTGGGGGGCAGGGGCAGCGTTAGAGACCTGGTTTCTAGAACTGACTTCTTGCTTATCCCCTCTGACTGTGCTCTCAGGGCGTCCTTCCCTCCCCTCAGAGAGATCCCCCATGGGGTACCCAGGACAGTGAATAGGCATTGTTTATTGATCACTTGCTGACCAGGTACCAGGTATTGTTCTAAGTGCTTTATGTGGATTTTCTTATTTAAACCTCACAGCATTCCTATGGGGCGGAAATTAGTACTATCTCAGCATCAGGAGGGGAGACTGAGACAGGCACACAGTGACTGGACAGAGCCCAGACTCCTGCAAACTCCTGGACAAACCACACCACCCTGTTCAAATGTGTGAAAGGAGATGGGTGCACTCTGGGTTGGTGAGATGCTGGTGGTGGGACTCCACACCTCAGGTGCTGCCCCACTGCAGCAGAAGCCACCAGAAAGACCAGGAGTTGCTCTCCCTTCCAGAGTCTGCACACCCAGGGAGCTCAGGAAAGCCTCACCTTGCAGCTACCTCCCAGGTGAGCCCTGTAGACAATGAAGCTGGGAACCTAGTCCTCTGGGGCATGGACCTCTCTGGCCATGACAAGGGCCCCGGGGCCTGTTGGGGCGCTGGGGCCCTTGGAGATGCTTCCCTCATGTCAGACCCTTCCCTGCAGGGCATGACCTGCTCAGGGTGAGCCTGGACCACCGCTGGCACTTGGCCTCTCCCACGCATGGGCAAGCAGGCACAACAGGTTTGGGCAGATTGCCTGAGTGTCATGCTGACTCTGGAAACTAAGGTGGCCTCAGTTCCCCAGGGGATCTGCTCCCACTTTTCTCAAGGATGAGCCCACAAAGAAATGCAAACTTTCAGCATTTGCTCTAAACAAAAGTGATATAGCTGGACATAGCAACACAAAATAGATGTGCCCCCAGCTGCACCACCCAGTGACCCAAGCATGAGCTTCTGGCAGAGGCTCTGCAGCTGAATATGGCAGAGACAGCTCAGCAAGACCCACACCATGTGCGTCAAGGCCCAGAATGCCACTATCAGCTATGCCCAAGACCTCATAAAGAAGCCCATCTTCTTGACACAATTCAGGTCTATGATGTGCAACCCAGGAGAATATTATGAGCAGCAGAACAACTGTAAACTAAAGCCTGGTCCATCCATCAAAAGTTATCAGATTTATCTTACAGAAATAGCTGATTCCAATAAAGACAGTTTTAGGAAAATAAAAATGAAACTTTTGGAAACAAATTCTTTGCACTCTATAGAAAATTGTCCACAACGTAAGACTGGCTTATGAAGTAAAGACCTTTAACAACTTTTGCTGAGGAGGAGCCCACATGTGACAGGCTAAGGCTCTGGGGTCAGGAAGTTGGTGCTGGTGGGGACCACTCTCTGCCAGCCACAGGAGCTCACACATAAAGGGAGTGAGTTCTTTCCATCACTGACAGTCTGTGGGCCTTGCATGGATTTCTGAAGACAGATGTTGGTGGGTGTGTGTTGACAGATGTGCTGTGTGCAGTGTTTGCATATGATGGGCCAAGAGCTGTATGTAGCATGTGTGTGCATGACATGAGCACATATGCATAAGTGCACATGTGCTGTGATGTACATACATTTGTGGTGTATATGTGCACATGTGTGTAGGTGGACGACCATAATAAGTGTGTGTAGTATAAGTGGTGTGCATGTATATGCATGTGTGGTATGTATGTATGTGCCTGTGTGCATATATATGTGCATGTCTTGTGTGTATGTATGTGGCATGTGTCCATGTGTATGGGTGTGTGGAGATGTGTGTGAGTGGCATGAATATGGTGTGTGTGCACATTTGTGCATGTGTGGTATGTATACGATGTGTGCATGTGCCTGCCAGAATCAGATTCCCTTCCCTGAGCTGACTAACATACTGGTTCTGGGCACTGAGAGCTGGCAGCAGGTGGCCCTCAGCTGAGTCCCAAGGAAGTCCCTGTGGCTGCAGAGTGCTGCAAAGGGCTTACTGGCCAGAGAGGAGACAGTGGAGAAGGTATCACAGCTTCTCTGCTAGGCTGGCATGGTGAGGTTCTGTGCATTGGTTTTACATGTGGTTTTCTGTCCTATGGTTTTCTGTTGGTCACTATAATGTATGGGTCTGGCAGGTCTAGTTTAGTGGAAACTTGTCTATTGCAAAGTGTACAGTATGATGTGGCAGCCCCCAGCCCTGTCTAGTCCAAGAGATTCCTGTTTGAGGGTAACTGGTTTCTCGAGTTGCCACATCCTGGGTGAAGGAGTCTTCTGCATGCTGGCCAGCTCTCTGCCCATTTGTCCACCTCCCCCACATCCTATTATTTTTCCACATTCTCCAAAGCTACCCCAAACCTTTTGATGAGTGAGGGGAGTGTAAATGAGTCAGGAAATAAAAGTATAATCCCTGCTCTTTGGGAGGCTGAGGCAGGAGGATCACTTGAGACCAGGAGTCCAAGATAGACCTGGGCAGTACAGTAACCCCCATCTTTACAAAAAAAAATTTTTTTTTGAGACAGAGCCTCACTCCGTTACCTGGGCTAGAGTGTTGTGGTGTCATCACAGCTCACAGCAACCTCAGTCTCTTGGCCTCAAGCAATCCCCTTGCCTCAGCCTCCTGAATGGCTGGGACTACACACGCCGGCAGTCCCACCTGGCTAGTTTTACTATTTTTATTTATATTTATTTATTTATTTTTTGAGACAGAGTCTCACTATGTCACCCTCAGTAGAGTGCTATGGCTTTACAGCTCACAGCAACCTCAAACTCTTGGGCTTAAGCGATTCTCTTGCCTCAGCCTCCCAAGTAGCTGGG